AAACATTCACCCGATCAACTACCCAGAATTCATCTCCAATCAATCTCAATTTCCCCCTAAAAATCGACTCAACATTACAATGAAAACATTCACCCAAAATTCATCTCCAATAAATCTCAATTTCCCTCAAAACCGCCTCAACATTACACTCTAAAATTCACTCAATCAACTCCCTAAAATTCACCTTCAATCAATCTTTAATTTCCCCAAAATCGCCTCAAAATTACGCTCAAAACATTCACCCAAAGTTCACTTCCAATCAATCTCAATTTCCCCAAAAACCGCCTCAACATTACACTCAATCGACTCCCTAAAATTCACCTCCAATCGATCTCAATTTCCCTCAAAAACCACATTCACTCACTCAACTTCCAAAAATTCCCAAACAATCCTCACATATCCTCGCTATCCCCAGAAGTACCGTCTACCCATTACTCATAAACGCCGAAAACCCACGTCAGAAACCCAACCGTACACTCTCGAAAACCTCGAACCTGCGAAAACGGGCGGGAAAACAAAGGCCAGAAACAGGCAAAAGAAAAACATTCCAACCACCCTACATCCAGCAAACGAGGGTGAGAGTATATACCGCGGTTCATCAGGCCGGTTCTCAACAGCCACTACAATATCACACGCCAACCAGGCGAGGGGCGAAAACAGTGGTGTGTATAGGAGGTACACCGTTGCGCAAACGTCGCCATGTGGCTTTCGCCAAGGCCCCTAACGAGCCCCCTGTTCCCCCACGCCGCGGAAGAACAGCCCTAACGGGCAAGGCCTTAGGCTGTTTTCCGACAGACGTGAGTCACGAATTTCGGTGGATCGACGAAAAACGAAGGAACCGGGTCATTGTGTCCCCCAGGCCGGCTTTCAAGCAGATTCTTAGGGGCCGTTTTGCACGGGGAACCGATCCTCGCGCCACGAATACCAACGCGACAGGACAATAACACCAAGGACAATGGAAGTTTGCCGAGGCGAGGGCTTTTAGGGCTTCTTGTCCGTCACACGTTGTCTAGTTCTTCTGGACCTACTCTGTGTGTCCCGATTAACGCTTGTCATCGATCAACCAACCCCAACGTTACTCTTGTTTCGGTGTGTTTTTGACGAAGGTGTTCCGATGACGTGATGTTTTGCGGCGAGAAATTTGGTGATTGGGGATTATGTTCTGGGGAAGGGCAGATTTGAAGGTGTCTGAAAGTGAGTTTTCTTTTGGGGGTGAATTGAGAGTGCAATATTTGAAAAGTATGGTCCTTCGAATTCGTAAAAGTAAGGAAATTAAAAGCACACTTCTGGAAATTCGTTAGAACTCCAAATAATAATAAACAGAGAAACAAAAAAAAGAAAAAAAGAAAAAAGTATTTGCTTGAATTTGTATTACGCTTCTCTTAAAAAATGCCCGGAAACCGAGAAAGACAGAGAAAAAACAACCCGTCTGTTAAGTTGTTAAGATGGAGTCGAAATTTGAAAGTATCTATAATTGATTTATTTCTTTTTGGGTGAATTAAAAGTACAATATTTGAAAAATATGGTCCTTCGAATTCGTAAAAATAACAGAATTGAAAGCACACTTACGGAAATGTGCCAGGACTCTCAATAATACAAAAATAAATCAAAAATACAGAAACAAAAACAGTTACATTAAGCAGGAGTCTAAAATGGATTTTTCTTTTTGGATGAATTAAAAGTACAATATTTGAAAAACATGGTCCCTCGAATTCGTAAAAATAACAAAATTACAAACAACACAAAAATGAATCGAAAATAAAGAATAAAATTTTTCATACGAAGCTTCATTTTCGAAAACAAATAACTTCATTTGTCGAGCGCACATGTACAGTCGGCGGAAGAAATATAGCGAGGTCGTAAATTAAAGCATTAACCAAGCGACACCGAATGAAAGCTATGATATACTCCACGCAGCCCTGACTGAAATTTCAAGCCCTTATCTTCTCAGGTTTCTGTCGATTCCGCTTCACGATATTCTCCAACGTGTAAACTTTGACGCCTCACCGATCGCACCCCACCCGACTATACCTGACTCCGTCTCCTCGATTCTACCCTAAATTTCCCCTATTTTCGTCCAAACAACGTAACACTAACTTCACCACAAAACGTTCCTCTTGAAATTCCAGAAACTTGGTTTATTACTCAAAAATAAAGCCTACTACGAAAAAGTGATATTTTCGAAAAGCAAAAATTGAAAATTGTACTCTTCAAAAAAAAAAAATTGAATCTCTATCTTTCCGCTTGTACCGCTACCAAACGCGACACCCTGTATATAGCAATTAGCTCGAGCCGCGACTTTGAAAACGCAGAGGAAAGGGACTCTCTTAAAAACATAATCCTCCAATTACTACGAAGAATGTACGGTATTCCCGGCGGGGATCAGATGAGATTACAAACGGCCAAACACACAGGCTATCGCGAAAGTTGCAGCGTCGCAGAGAACGAGGAACGAACGAGGACGAGCGTAAAGTTTACCATGAAATAACGGTGGCTCGTGAAAATCTGATTCGCCCTCTCGTCGATGTACCAAGCACACGGACCATCGATGGGATTACGTTGTGGACTAAGTTCGAGTGGATCTTGTCGAACAGCGAGCGTACAAGTGCTACAGGTTACGACCTTGCGAAATGGCGTACCAACGAAACGAATCGTTCTTTCCTTGTACGCTTGCAACCTACTTCCGTTCCGATTTCTCTAGCGTTTACGGCGTGTACGTGGGAATTTTTTACACCGCGTGCACGTTTCTTCTTTTATACCGGGTAACTTGGATGAAAAGTGATCGAAAAGGTCTATCTTACGAATGTGAAATTCCTCGCTTTTATGTACGTTTCTTTTTTTCTCTCGCGAATCGTTTTAGGTATTTCGTAGAAATGTTTTTCCACATGTTTGTTGAAATGACGGAACATAATTTGTGTGTTAATTGTTTTATATAGTCGAGGAGAACGTGTAGTTAAAATTCGGTTTCAATATCTTTTACGGTTTTCGAGAAAAACGTAGATAAAGCTTGAAAATATTCACTTGCGGGTAATTTTTGTTGTATAATAATCTAGGTGAAGTATTGTTCGTTGAAAAGGTATGTTATTTTTTTTAAATATATTAGGATGAAAAAATTCCACGCTCTTTAAGTTCAACGACCTGCACTTTAATATAGAACACACTGTGTGTGCACTCGATGGGCTATTTTCATGAAAAAGTGGCTTCCTTGTAGTATCTACTTACTTCCGTTTAATAAGCGTAAAAATAGTTACAAAAACAGTCCTTGAATTATTTTTAAACAAGCAACAATAATAAAGAAAAAATGTTTCGTAAGCAATACTTAAGGCGGTATACGAAATTCATCTCGGCTGTACACACATATCACGCGAGAGATACATACACTGTTTTTTTATCCGTGTATAGAATAAATTGCGACGAATTTTGCGAAACATTAAAAAAGAGAAATGCAGAAAAGCTCGGTTCGAAAATCCATAGATCAAGCAAACGGACAGAATCCACCGGAGGATTTATGGAAAAGCGTGCGATTTCAGTCGGTAACGCATTGTTTGCCCTCGATACAGTAATGCCCTTTAAATAATAACACGCGTAACGCTGCGTAAATAGAGAGCGTTATTAATTCCGGCGAATTGTAGGAGGCACACGAAGCAAAAGGGTCGAAAACTTTCGATTCGACGACAACAGACGAGAGAGAACCAACGGTCGATTCATTGTTTACATGCAATAATTAACTAAAATGAATTCAATTAATTTTCCCGTGCCACGTTTCCGTTCCGGACGTTATAAATCAACGCGCGTTCCACCATCAATTTTTCCATCGACACTACCGCTCATTGCATCCTCCAGGCACGATATTGGTATTCGTGGGGGTAAAAAAAAAACAATCTGATGCCTGGTCGATAATAAATTTCGAACGAATGCGTAGAGCACTCGTGCGTTTTTTGACACTTTTCAACCGTCGATAAATACTTCATCGAAGGGCATTTTGTTTTTGTCGCCCGTCGCCGCCGCTTCGTCTCGCCACGCCACTAGAGTCGCGCGAATAATAGTTGAGAGTCTTTGCGAGGAATCGACAGGAAAAAAGGGGCAAAAAAAATAGGGAACGCGCGTCTGACGGCAGACCGTAGTCTCGAATTACTCGCCAACATCGAAGGGAATATTCCTGTTTGCATGTTTTTGTGCCTCGTGCTTCGATATGCCCCAGCCAGCGAGAGAGGGAACATAAACAACGGTCTGGCGATGGCACGATGTTGCACGGCGCAGAAAAAACGAAGCATGGGATAATATCCGACCGGGGTACACGTATAGTACGTGTGCAAGAAGCATTTCTCCTCTACTGTCGTAATACTTCGACTACCCGAATGAGACAATTCATTCTCGTGATAGTAGCAAAAGTTTCGAAATAACAAATTCACTACACGCACAATCTGCCGACCGTGTAATTTGCCGAGATTTACAGCATTATGCAATTACGTGAGGCAAAAATGCTTGGTAAGGTATCGGTGCCTTCCGGGAACCTATTCGAAGCAAACGATCAACGTTAAATCGTCTCGAGGATCCGTGCAAGCGTGTCTCGTCCATCTCAAACACGCCACGGTGGTTTGGGTAAACAAATTCGTGCAATTGGCAATGAAGCGTAAACAACCGCAACGGAATCGCGTCGTGCGGGTGCTGTTTGGGATTCGAACGTGCACGTTCGGACTGAAGGATACGTGCGAGAACGCGACGCATCGGTATATACGTGATGTATCGAATGTTACAACACGGAAATACCATAAGTGAAAGAACTCTATTATAAGAAACGTCTTATGAACAGAGGACGATCGTACAACGCGTTCGAAAATTTGTTGGAACACGCGTCTGTCGAATTCGGGGATGAAATTTACGTTTCGAGGCGAAACTAGGAGGGAGAGAAGGTGACACAATGGAAAAAACGATCGAACGATCGGCGAAGGAGTGACAGAATGGAGAAAGAAGGCTGAGATGAAAGCAATCGTACTCACCTCGGTAGCGGCGTTGCATCCCGCGAGAATGACGGCCGTACTGATCAGAATCCAGTATATCCTCGGTTGCATCTTTCCTCTGTTTGCCGCTGGGCCCGTTCAAGAGCCCCGTGAGTGATCACCGCGTCGACTCGAGGGAACCAAACGAAAAAAATACGCGTACGTCCCGGGCAGGAACAAACCACCAAAAAAATCCACCGGAGCAACAACGCGACACACACCACACTGATCGATGAACCGCGAGACACTGAGGGCGCGTCGATCGGTCGCTTCCATCGTCGAGCTGCCGCCATTTTGTTTGGAAGAGCGCGCCACTCAGTGGCCATACTTGAAGTTAGCGTTGGGCAATTTTCCGATACTGCGCGAGCAATTTGAATCGATTAAGCGAATCTTTCGCGAACGAATAGTTTTCTTAACGCGATCGTGATAAAATATAGTGTGACGTGAGTGTATCGGTGTTAGGATTTAGTATGAATAAATCGTACTCGAAAGTGAAGTGAAATTGATAAAGATTATGTTGTGTAAGTGCGACAATTTTCGAAGGTGATTTGAAAAACTTGATCATCGAACTTCACTACAGGTACATAAAAAGGTAAATATGCAAAGTACTAAATAAATCGTCGGAAAAAAAAGGTATTAGTATTATGCAAAGCAGCATGTCTATTTTTCTTTCTCTTTCAAGTGCATTGTGAAAATGGCGGGATTTAAAAAACGATAATGGAGCTAAAGGCATAATGGGCGGGAAAATGGAGTTAAAAAGAAGATGACGTCATAATGGTGAGTTTCTTTTTTAAACGTAATGAATTCTTAAAGTAAATATTGTAAAATAAATAGCAAGCTTCATTGGTCTATCATTTTTTATTAGTAAGATGTACAAATCCGGTTTGTATTAATTTTTCTGCTTGTCCAATGTATAAATTTTAACACGAATAAGTATTGTTAACATTCATTTTATAAAATGTTTCACATTGTCGAAAAAGAACGACTATCGAAACAAAACTGTGCATAACATCAACATTATTTTTTATCGCTAGCCGATAAGTCTTTTTCGACACCTTTCAAAAATCGAAGATTTTCGTTTATAGTACGATTATATTCCTCAATTTTATTACGCATCATTGTCACTTCGTCTTGCATGCACTTCACTTCTTCTTGCATTTTTTGTTTTACCATTTCTAACAGTTCCTTATCCTGTGAAGAAGATAAAACAAATCCTTACATTTTTTACAATTGAATTATTTATTAACAATATTACTTGTTTGTAATAATATTCAGCTTCAAATGCAATGTCGTCATTAGAGTTACTTTTATTGGAATCGCTGTACCTTCTTTTCAAATATCTGCAACTGTTAGGGGAATAGCATGTTATTGTACCATATTGAAAAAGATCAACATAACCATAACAGTGAACGATTTTCTCGTGAGTGTTTCAAACGTCATACTTACCTGGTTATTTCACACGATAAATTTCGTAAAATATACCGAAACATTATCTTTGATAATTTTTAAAGTCATTAATAATACGAAAAATAAGTTTTCCGTGAAATTCAATTGAACAGAAATTTTGCGACTTTCTGTCACGAACAGTCAAACATTTGAATATAAACATTATCGAGATACAATCGATTTTTATTGACGTTAGTTCAATTGAGACCTATAAACTTCGGTATTGCAAGTACAAGAAAATAAATAGTTTATCGTTTTGAATTAATTTGTATTATTCTATATTGTATTTATGTATATTTTGTAGTTTAAAAAGAGTACAGACACAGTCTACTATAATTACTATTAGTAATGTATATAACAGTTATAAGAAACAACAAATCGTGCTTAGAAATATTACAACAGGTAAATTATCTTATTCCCTGCTCATGTCTGTGATTCTCTTCTTGTGACGGTTGATGGCTTCTTGGTGGCGTTTGATTTGTTCTTCATGGAAAGAGATTTCATCGTGAAGATCCTCCTTCAGTTTTTGGAACTGTTTCTTTTGCTAGAATAAAACAACGTTACTTTTATGCAAATCTTTTCTAATTTTTGCATTCTAAGCGTACAAATATACATACGATATGCAAAATTTAATTAAAAACAGAATGGAATCACATTTTCAAATAGTCTTGTGATCTTCGTAAGAATTCAATCACTGCCAAGAAACTAGAGCAACTAACCAGATTGTAGAAATACTGATCTTCATGAGCAGCTTCCATTTTTCCAAAGGATCCACCAGCACTTCGGATGCTGCCACCACCACCACCTCCTTTACCAGCTCCTGATCCGGGATCACCACTAATCATCCTTACTTGGCTGTAATGATCAAATGTTTAAATTTTATTCGGTACATTTCAACCAGCTCAGAGTGCTAAAAAAAAAACTTAAAGCACTGTAACAAAAGTTAAAAATATACAATGTCCACTTATAGCATCAACACACCGAATGCCTAAGCAACTTAATATAGAACAAACCAAGCTTAAAACGTAAATGATGCAATTAAATAAATACGAATTGAACAGAAGCGTTACAAATGTTTTTTCCACAATGGTGAAACCTATGGCTATTACATAATTGGAGTACATATATGCGAAAGTCAATAATGCCGCAAAAGCTTGTAAGAATTCGTTTGAAAAATATACGCAGATCGACTGTAAGTATCGTTTATACCGCGTAGTGTGTCGTAAAGCCAGAAAAAAAAAAAAATCGAAATGCAACGCACGGCGTTTTTAATTGCGCTTTGTGTGCAAAGACCGTGTAAAAGCTGCGCTCGAATTAAATTACGCAGAAATGGAAATCTATATAGTTCGCGTTAACCATCTCGTGGAAAACATTCTTTTGTACCTTAGCGAAGCCATATTCCGAGAAAACGTAGTAATAACTCGCTGCATTGTTCCTGACGTAGAGAATTTCGAAGTATGGCAAGTACTGAAGATTCTAATGGAAACCATACAGTGTTGCTAGAAGGAGATCGCCGCGCTGTGCTACATATTCTAGCAGAAGTTTCACGAAACAACCGTCCTGGCGCTTATTTGGCGCCAACATTAACTCAATATCTCCACGGTATTCACGGTGTCCCATGTATCACCGTCACTTCCATCGTGAAAATTCAATTATAAAGATTATCAGAAATATTCAACGCGTTTAATGCCAATTCTCTCTCTCTTCTTCATCGAAAATTTAACGACAGAAAACGCGGAGCGCTTCAATGTTCTACCATCACTTACTATCTCTTAAATAAAACATCTCACTTGGAGTTTATAAAAACCTCACCATTGAAACAGCACAGTTTATTCGTGTATCTTGACGTAGAACCAAAATTGAAATTTCTTTTACTCAAAAAAGATGATCTTGCAGAAACTTTTTTGTCGACATCAAAGAGTAGAGAGTGCAGATGAAAAATTTTCATTTTCCCTGTGCAGCTATACTTCGATTTTCAACTTTAAATGGAAACTGCCTGAAATTTCGATTAAAACATTTAATATAACCTGTAATATTCGGTGGCTTGGCTCTCGATCATCTGTCTCTTGATCTCTGACGTCTTCAGCTCGTTGATCGCGGTTTGCTTCTGCAGTTCTGCTCTCTCCAACTCGATATTCAGCATTCTAAGCTTGAGCTCGTGTTCCCTTTGAGCCACCTCGAACATCCACATCGCCTTCTGAGTAGACTCCTCCAGGTCGCCGCCAGTTCTGTCCATCTTTTCTCTCGTGCTGGACAAAGGTGCAGTTTCTTCTGCTCGAAACAAATGAAATTGCACGAGAATTAATGCCTCTCCGTGTGTCTGATCATTTTTCTAAATTTTTTTTATTCCACGAAGAATTCTAGAATTCGACGGAACAAGATTTGCAGAGTTTCGCCATCAAATTTAAAGGTACCATTGCGGCTGACGGTGTCCATGGTGTGGGTCTTTTGTTCGGCTAGATCCATCGGTTCGTCCTCAAAAATCCTTGGACGCTTTTTCAGCAAAGCATCCGGTAGTTTCTTTCGGAGAAGTTCGCCTTGGCTCGCCTCCTCCTCTGTGTTGTACTCGTCGCTGTCCGCCTCCACTTTAATTTCGCTCACCGTCGCCACTTCCGGCGCGGCGGCCATCAGCTTGTCCAGAATCGTCTGCAAACTCGTCGAGCTCTCTGGACTCTCTTGGCCGTTTTCGTCCGAACGATCCTCGTCCCCGTCGTTTTTACGCGCTTTCTCCATCAATCGCCATACCTCGATCGAGAGATTCGATGGGCGACTCTTTGCCGCTTCCTCCGGGCCCAGGGTTTTCACCTAGATTTCATTGTTCTGTGTGAAAATTGATGGGTAAGAATGTGGTTGATTTTTTGGGCTGTTTTAAGTCGTTTGTGTGAGATCTATGAAGTAAATGTACAGTGATATTTGAGTTGGTTAAATAGTTCTAAAAATAGCAACGATGTTCTTGAAATATTGACGAAGTTCTTAACTACTAAAAAGTACTTCTAAAAGTACTCGATCATCGCGACAACGTGATAATTAAATAATTCTAGAGATAAGGAACATATTCTCTAAACAATGAACTTCCACTTCTCCGAATAGAAAAGGTTAATTATGAAATTTTTGAAGAAAAAACATTAATTTCGTCGAAATTCACATGGAACTTCTAAAAAAATAATCAATCGTTACAACAACACGATAATTAAACAGTTCTACAAATAATGAACACATACTCGAAACAACGAATTTGCATCTTTCCAAATAGAAGAATTTAATTTTAAAATTCTTAAAAAAACAATTAATTTTGCAATTAATTAATTTAGTACTTAAAAAAAAAAGCACTCAATCGTGGCAACACTGCGAAAATTAAATAATTCCCAAAATGACAACCACATTCTCGAAGCAACAAACTTCCGTTTCCCCGAATAAAAAAAAGTATTAATTCCAAAATTCTCGAAAAAAATATTAATTTCAGCGAAACTCCCTTGAAACTCCTAAAAAAACACTCAATCAAGGCACTAACACGACAATTAAATAATTACCAAAGTAACAGTCACATTCTCAACGCAACGAACTTCCGTTTCACCGAATAAAAAAAGTACTAATTCCAAAATACTCAAAGACAAAACTGAATTTCACCGAAACTCCCTCAAAACTCCCAACGAAGCTCAATTCTCGAAGCTGCCACGAAAGGAATCAAGGCCAATCCCAGAAAACCCGAACTTCCGTGGTGCAAACACTCGATCGATCGGTCACAATTGCAAATCGAACGAGCGTAAACAAACGGCGGTCTGGAAAAACGATCGATTAACCTTCTCGGCGAACGTGTACATCTCCATTCTCGCCTGTGCCTTCATCCTCCTCCATTGTTCCCTCATCCTGGTGATGTCGCGATCCGTGGAGAATCTTCCTCGGAAAGCGCAATAGATCTGTTGCCACGCGAGCGTTTTCATCGCGGACGCGGCTGCGTCGATCTTTTTATTCTCAATCGCGTTCACGTGCGATCTGATCAACGAGAACAAAGCGTTCTTCTCCTCCGGCACCCAATTCTGCGTTCTCTCCCTCTTCTTCAGCAACACCGTGGTCGCCGCACTCGCCGACATTCTCCTTCTCATTTGACCCGCGTTGGACACTTTCCTCTTTCGCGATTTCTTCGGTGATTCCGATAGTTTCCGTTAATTTCGACTTAATTCCGCGATCGCGACACGCACGCCCGTCATTTGCACGCGGAGCGATTAGGTGATGTTTCGCACGTTTACTTGTTTAAGCGCTGGTTTAACACAGTCGACTGTTTAACCGGCGTCGACACGCGTGTGTATACAGTGTGATTGAGAAGTACGGCGATATTTTAACGGTACTCGTCATTTCGTCGGATTTCAGTGGGTTTCTATAGGTAATTAGGGATCCAGGGGTCATTTTCTGTCGTTATTGATCACTCTGTTGGTTCATTGTTGTTCGTTCTATTGTGTGAAGTTTAGGACGCGAGGTGGTTTATTCGTGGAAATCGAGCGTTTTTGCTGAAATGAAAATTCGCTTGTTGTTGACGTTAATTTTAATTGTGTGATTAATTCTTTTCCTCTTTATACGGGGATTTGATATAGTTTTCAAAAGAATTATGCTTCTTTAAATAAATGTTACAAAATATCTACACATTTTTAATTTTTTTCCTTGGAAATTCGTTACATGAAATTTTCTGCTTCAATGAAATCTCTTTATAATTGAATAATTAATTACCTATGTACTCGTTTATGTTTTTTCTCTTTATGCAGTGATAGTTATCAAAGGAATTGTATTTCTTTGAAATAAAGGTTACAAAGTAAGTTATATTTTATTAATTTTTTTCTTGGAAATTGGTTGAATAAAATATCTTACAGAAATAAAGAATATTTTGCATAAATAGATGGGTAATTACTTATGAGATAATTAAGTGCGAGAATTATTTCGTCGATCGGTTCGTAAACTGCGTTCATTTCTGTATCTGCGATACTTCATATCGGTGAAATAAAATAATAAAATGAAATTAATAATTCTCGAGGTAACAGAGAAACTCTATAAATAATTCTATCGATGAAAAAAAAAAAGAAGGAACGTGGAATGAAAGTACGGCTTGCATAAATGTAGGATTTTAAATAATAACTTGTTCTTGTAATGATACTTTTAAATTTCACCGTGAGAATGATCCGAAGTATAAATCACGAATTATTCGGGGATATGTATTATGCAACGTTGAATCGTACGGAGAATCTACGGGATTTATTGAATGGTAATATTTTGTGAAATACGTAAAAAAATAGGAATTAAAAAAAGGCGTAAGCGTAGAGAACAAAATTCTGAAACTATTACAATTATTCTTCCTGTGTTATTCATTCTCAATCACACTACTGGCAAAATCCGCAGTCGTTACAGTTGTATCGAATTTACTACAAGATTTGATGGATTTGTGATTAATATCGCCGAGATAATTGCGATAGATTTGGCTAATAAAAAATTCGTTAAAAGTTTCTTGAAAATTCTTGCAATATTCCCTCGTCCATAAATATCAGGACACTTATTGAATGTGAATCAAAGCTAAGCAGTAATAAACAAAATTAAGATCCAAAAAAACATTATTCAGCCCGAAATCTTGTAATCTAACAAGTACAAAAATTTTTACTGATACTAAATTCGGTCAAGAAATGTAATTTAAATAATACAATAGCTTCTGTACGAACATACCGGGTGTCCTAATACTTATGAACGCCAGTATAAATTATTTAATAATTCAGTCAAAAATAAAAAGTAACTTCTCAGCCTTCCAACAATGTCGTTAAAAAATCATCAGCATACGAATGAAAAAAAAATCCAAACCACCGTAAAACTTCTCCAAATTACCCTAAAAAATACTCCCAAACCCTCATTCCACAAGTGTTACACAATCTTCAACATACGAAAGAAAAAAAAAATACGAGCCACCGTAAAAATCCTCCAAATTGCTCTAAAAAATACTCCCAAACCCTCATTCCACAAATGTTAAAAAATCTTCAACATATGAAAGAAAAAAAAATTATGAGCCACCGTAAAAATCCTCAAAATTACCCTAAAAATACTCCGAAACCCTTACTCCATAAGTGTTACACAATCTTCAATATACGAATGAAAAAAAAAATATGAGCCACCGTAAAAATCCTCAAAATTGCTCTAAACAATACTCCCAAACCCTCATTCTACAAATGTTAAAAAATCTTCAACATACGAAAGAAAAAAAAAATACGAGCCACCGTAAAAATCCTCAAAATTGCTCTAAACAATACTCCCAAACCCTCATTCTACAAATGTTAAAAAATCTTCAACATACGAAAGAAAAAAAAAATTATGAGCCACCGTAAAAATCCTCAAAATTACCCTAAAAATACTCCGAAACCCTCATTCTACAAATGTTAAAAAATCTTCAACATACGAAAGAAAAAAAAATTATGAGCCACCGTAAAAATCCTCCAAATTACTCTAAAAATACTCCCAAACCCTTACTCCACAAATGTTCGCACCTAGACCGATCCAACAACGGATCCCGAACTCCCAACCCGTCCACTTAGTTCACCCCATCGTGTCCTCTATAAATCCTCCCCCCTGAGAAAGAAACTCTGTTTTCCAACATCGAGATCGACGATCACGCGAAACGTGTACCGAGCAAAGGATCTCGACCGGTACGTTCGAAGAAAGAAGCCGAGCGTGTCGCGTAAACAGAGAATCCGAGATTTGCGCACCGCGTCGCGAGTCGTTCAGTTAAATCTGAACTAAGGGACGACTAAACGTCGGCCATTTTGGCACGGTACTAGCTAGGCGCTCGATATTAACAAATCCTCGATTCCCAACTGGGGTGAGAGCAGCAGCGGCACCGAGAGCGACCGAGAACAGGAGAACCAGAAACGTGGGAGGAGGGTTTGGTGGGGC